AACCATTTATGCTGCCGAATCTGTTCGATCGTTATCCTCTTCGTGCTGTCCACAACAAGCATTTGAACCTGAGGACAGAATTGAAATTCTCCGCCACTATCACACTCACAATGAGATCTTTTGCATCGGCCGAAAGATGCCCAGGTAGAGTAAAATTGCCATGTTTAATCTTCCTAAATAGGTTAGGCACCTGGTCGCAGGAATGGGCACCAAGAAACCACCACTATGGACTACATTCTCGTCATCAAAAGGCAGTGACCCGCACAGCAATGCATATAGTACAACTCCCAACGACCAGACGTCAACCTGAATACGAACAATGGGATGTGCATGCTGGTATAATCCGTTGACACTCTCAGTGACAGGTTCTAAGCATTCACAGTACTTGGAAGGTATGTAGCCTTGGAGCACGATACTGGTATTGCCTGTTATTCTATCTAATACCAACGTATGTAGCTTTCCCGACCAATACCGGAACAAGATGGTTCAAACCGTGACCTCAACACATGGTCTACGAATCCGAGTCCATATCTCACGAATGCGTATCTTCGCTGCTGCGTATTGTTCGAAGGGTGGGACCCAATGGTACTACCTCAGGTCCGACATAAAACCTTCCGGAAACAACTTCAGGAGATGCGTAGTTCGGGCTTCCACAGGAAGTCTTCAGATATTCACCATCACACATCTTATTAGAGAGGCCTGAGAGAATAGTTAATACACACAGAGCCAAGATTATCGATGTGCTCACCGAAGTCACCAATCTTGATATTGCTATTAGTGCCGTCCAGAAGGAGGTTTTCCGGTTTGAGGTCTCTGACAACGACAAACGTAGAAAACCGCTACGACAAGGGAGTATCTCCATGGCAGGCGAGGACACATTGTCGCCATGTCAAATGGATCGCATCCATTATAGGACAAGCTCTTTGGGCAAACCCCATCACTCGAGGACCGACAGAAATTAGAGCCGAAGGGATCAACGGTGCCGACCAATTGTGTAGTTGGCGTGCCAAGACATGAGTCCTCCTTCCCGATGCCTCACCGATGAGTCACTAAATGACGGTGACAAAAGTCCAGACCCGATAGAATTTGCTGGAAGAACCTTCTTGCCTCATCCTCGGTCAGGCGCATACGATGAACAATATAATCGAACAACTCGCCACCTACAGTAGGCAACAATAACACCTTATGCTGGTTCGTGG